ACAGTTTAAAATTCTAGGTCAGTTTGTTGATAACATCAACTAGACGTTTTTTTTTTGAAAATACAAAATTCTTAGTAGATTTTCTACTCACTGGAAAATGCTCAAATCATGATACAAAATTCAATTTTCTAATCTCGAGTGCTTTCCTCTTAAGACAAACTTATATCAGTATATGTACTAGTTAATGCCACATATGAATTTTCAAAAAACAAAGGTCTCGATTGTCATTGTTAATTACTTCTATAAAATCCAATTGAATTAAACTCAATAAAAAAAGGAAAAAAAAATTTTTATTTTTATTTTTAGTTCAAAATTCCTGAATGTCGTTTAGGCGATGATTTCCAATCATTACTTGATAATCCTGTTTATTCTGATGTTACACTTGTTTGTGGTCATAAAGAATTTCCCGTACATAAAGCAATACTTAGTGCTCGATCAAAAGTATTTCAAGCTATGTTTGAACATAAAATGTTAGAAAATGAACGTTCACGTGTAGAAATTGAAGATATTGATGGTGATATAATGCTCGAAATTCTTCGTTTTATATATACGGGTAGAATACAAAATATTGATAAATTAGCAGATGCACTTTTACCAGCTGCTGATAAATATTGTTTGGAAAGACTTAAAGTTCAATGTGAAGAAACATTATGTACAACAATTGACAAAGATAATGTTGCCGATATACTTATACTTGCTGATCTTCATTCAGCAACACAACTTCGACAACAATCTATTGATTTTATTAATACACATCTACAAGGTATGAAATATCAAAATAAATCCAACGGAAAAAAACTAATCTTTATCTTTCTTTTGTTTTTTTTTTATTTTAGATGTTTTAGAAACTAGTGGCTTTCAAACAATGATTCATACACATCCGCATCTATTAGCTGATGCATATCGAGCGATGGCTTCATTACAAAATAATATTATTTGTCCACCAAGAAAAAAACAAAGAACTGTATAAAGTTTTATTAGTATTGATATATATATATATATCTTCTGATGCCATTCGTACCAAAAAAGCCGCGAAGAAGAGAGGATGTAAACAATGTTTTTTGTTTTCTTATCTGTAGATGTTACGAACTGTGTTTTTTTTGCTTTTTTTTTTTTTGTCGACATTCTTTTATCTTTATTTATCGTGTGATGTGTATGCGTATCTCTTTTGTCTCATATATCTTGTCTCATTGTATGATTGTATCGGATGTGTGTATGTGTGTGTGTGTGTGTGAAGTGTGTTTCGAAATTCGAAGAGATAGTAACGAGAAAAAATAAAATATGACACAAAATATATAAATTCTTAATACTTTACTGTGGCATGGTAATTGAATGTTGTTTGATAGAAGTTTTCAAAAACTTTTGAAAATCAGATTGAAGAAAATGATAATAGAGAGAATATATTGTTAGGAATTAGTAGCTGGAGATATTTCGGAAAATTGATCGGTGGATTTAAAAGATTTTAAAAGCTCAATTATCTGTTGTTATGTTCTTGTTCAGATTCAAAATTGGATATCAGATCAAACAAGGTCTTACAGGATTACATGTGTACAAGGTTTTTCATACGATCTGACTAGATGATCAATCCAGATCGTATTCTCAGTTTTATTGAAAGTCTTCAAATAATTCTAATTGTACGATTGAACTAAATATTGTACAAGAATCATAACATACGGAACGTATAGTAATAACTCTAATGATTAGGGATGTAAGCCTATC